GTACTATTTTGAATAGGAGCAGAGAAAGTAGGCAGCCTTGTCTTATAGCATATTTTAGTGGAAAAGCTTTAAGCTTTTCCCCATTTTTTTTTTTTTTGAGAGGTTTTCGCTACAGGGCGCATGCGCTCGCCAGACAGAGACAGAGAGACAGAAAGCAGGAAATCATCCCCCAGGGGGGATGGCCACACCACAATCCCTTCTCCATTCTCCTCTCAGGATCTTGGACATGCACGCACATGCACTCAGCGTGAATTTTAAGTCACTGGGTTCAGAAAGCAAACTGCAGTCGACTATGTGGGAGTCCAGTGACATAGCCATTACACTAACTGCTGGTCCCAAGTTAGCTATATATTTTTCATAGAGACTTATACTGATAAATGATCCTTCTTTCCAATTTTACTGAGAGTCTTAATCATAAAGGAATGTTGTATTTTGTCAAATGCTTTTTCTGATAGATTGAAATTATCATATGATTTTTATTTTTCTTTCTGTTGATATGGTGTATTAAATGGGTGGTTTTGCGTATGTTGAACTACCCTTGCATCCCTGGAATAAAGCCTACCTGGTAGTGAGAGTAACCTTTTTTATATGCTGTCAAATATTGGAGCTCAACATCTCTTGTATTTCATAGACTTTTGTTACAATAGGTATTCTAAATTCTTTTTCCAACATTTCAGTAATATCCTCTAATTTTTCCCTACTTGGAGACAAGTTACAGTGCTCCCTTGCTGGAGGTGTACTACTTGATTCTCTCATATTTGAGTCTCTTCTCCAATTTTTAGTCATTTGGTAATGTATTCTCTTCTTTTCTTTATCTTCCTTAGAGAGACTTTTGTTCAGCTCACTTTCCCATCTTTTAATCGGGTTAATCATTTTTTTTCGCATAAGGCACTTGAGTTCCCTATGTATTCTCGTTATCAGTCCCTTGTCTGAGGCATATTTAACAAAAATATTTTCCCATTCTGAGGGTTGTCGGTTCACACTTGTTACTGTGTCCTTTGCTGTGCAGAAACTTCTTAGTCTAATATAGTCCCACTTGTCTATTTTAGGGATTATTGCCTGTGCTTTGGGAGTCTTATTTAAGAAGTCTTTGCCTACTCCAATGTCTCCCAGAGTTTCCCCAGCATTTTCCACCAGTAGTTTTATTGTTTGAGGTCTTAAGTTCAGATCTTTGATCCATTTTTTTTTGAGAGATTTTCACTGTAGGGCGCGTGCACTCGCCAGACAGAGAGAGACATAGAGACAGAAAGCAAGAAATCACCCTCCAGGGGGGTTGGTCACGCTGCAATCCCTTCTCCTCCATTCTCCTCTCGGGATCTTGGGCACGCACACACACGCGCCCGGCGTGAGTTTTAAGCCACCGGCTCCGGGACACGAACCGCGGTCGACTACGTGGGAGTCCAGCGACATAGTCATTACTCTAACTGCTGGTTCCCAGGCTTATATTTTTGATCCAAAAAATCTTTGAGTTGATTTTTGTTAATAGTGACAGAGATGGGTTCAGATTCATCTTTCTGAAGATGGATACCCAGTTTTCCCGCACCATTTGCTAAAGAGGTTTCCCTTTTCCCACTGGATTGGCTGATATCCTTTGTCAAAGATAGGTTGGTTGTATGTTTTGGGGGTTATTACTGGAGTCTCCACTCTGTTTCATTGGTCCTCATGTGTTTTTGTGCCAGGACCACGCTGTTTTGATTATCACAGCTTTGTAATATATTTGGTGGTCAGAAAATGAGATGCCACTTACTCCAGTCCTCTTGAGCAGGATAGCTTTAGCAAAATGGGGTCTTTTATGGTTCCAGACAAGTTTTATGATTGTCTTGTCTAGATCTGTAAAGAATGTCTTTTGTAATTTTATTGGGATTGCATTAAGCATGTAGATTAATTTGGGTAAGACTGCCATTTTGATTATATTGATTCTGACAATACAGGAACATTTGATATCCTTCCACTTTTCAGTGTCTTTTTCAATTCCTTGTTAAGGTTTTCATAGTTTTCCTCATAGCGGTCTTTGATTTCCTTGGTTAGTTTTATTATTAAGTATCTTATGCTTCTTGTGGCTATGGTAAATGGGATTACTTTGTTCAGTTCTGTCTCTGTGTGCTTGTTGTTTGTATATAGAAATGCTATAGATTTTTGTAAGTTAATTTTGTATCCTGTCACTTTACTGTATGCATTTATTCCTTCAAGAAGTTTTTTTGTGGATATTATTGAGTCTTCTGTGTATACAATCATGTCATGTGCAAACAGAGATAATTTCAGCTCTTCTTTCCCTGTTGGAATTCCTTTTATTTCCTTCTCTTGTCTGTGCAGAAACTTCTTAATCTGATGTAATCTCACTTGTCAATTTTGGAGATTATTGCCTGTATTTTGGGGATCTTATTTTTAAAGACTTTGTGCACCACAATGTCTCTCAGAGTTTTTTTTTTTCCTTATTTCTTTTATTTTTTAAAATTTCCCAGAGCTTTTACTGTGTTTTTCCACCAGTAGTTTTATAGTTTGAGTTCCTACATCTTTGATCCATTTAGAGTTAATTTTTGTTATTGGTGAAATATAGGGGTCTAGTTTTATATTCCTACAAATGGATACTCAGATTTTCTAGCAGCATTGCAAAAGAGGTTTTCCTTTTCCCACTGGAATGACTGATACCCTTTGTCAAAAATGAGTTATCTGCATGTTTTGGGTTTATTTTTTGAGTCTCTGTTCTGTTCCAGTGGTCCACCTGTCTGTTTTTCTGTCAATACCATGCTGTTTTGATTGTCACAATTTTATAATATATTTGGGGGTCAGGTTGTGAGATACTGCCCACTCCAGTCTTCTTGTGCAGAATTGCTTTGGCAATATGTCTTTTTTTTTTTTTAATGATTCCAGACACATTCTATGATTTCTTTTGTAGGTCTGTGAAGAATGTCGCTGGTAATTTTACTGAAATTGCCTTAAATGTGTAGATTAATTTGAGTAGAATTGCCATTTTGATTACATTAATTATTCCAATTCATAAACATGGTGTGTCCTCCTACTTTTTTGGGTACTTTTCTGTGTCTTTTTAAAGATTTTCATACTTTTCCTTGCAGAGGCCTTTGACTTCTTTGGTTAGATTTATTCCTAGGTATCTTATACATTTTGTGGGTATGATAAAAGGAATTTTTTAAATTTTAAATTTATTTATTTTACATTCATTCACTAAATATTATTATTGCATATGAAATGCAATTTCCCATCCATACATACTGTCTCTGATATCTACAATTATTTTCCATTCCTTTTCCCCCCACATTTTATTGATTTACAAAATATCTTAACTAATCTAACTACTTTCAATAGCAAGATCAGCTGATATATACATATCTGTGAACACATGTCTGATGTTAGGTATGAAACTGTGAGTAGAATGACTGCACCATAACATAGCACCTAGGTGAAGCTATATTGCTTACTGTGGCCTTCAAATAAGTATTTTTTAATATATTTTAATTTCAAGAAAGGTAGTTTTAGCTTTAATAAATCAAAATAAAAAATATTAAGAAAACTTTGCTTAAGACTTAAAGCCAGGAATAGGTTAGGATTCTGTTCAAATAGTAGGTACATAAGCATATTGACAGCTTAAGAAAAGACAAATCTCTTTAAATCTGGGAAACAAAGCATAGGAAAAAAATTAGTAATGTTTTAGTCAAAAGTCTTAAAATTCTATTTCACCAGTTCAGTATCATGAGCTTATTTTCTTCAGTTCTACTTCAGTCAGCTTGCTGCTCATCTATAAAAATACTATCAATTTTTGGATGTTGATTCTGTATACTGCCACTTTATTGTATTCATTTATTACTTTGAGAAGCTTTTTCATGGATACCTGTGAGTCTTCTAAGTATACCATCACATTATCTTCAAGTAAAGATATTTCCCTATTTGAATCCCTTTTATATTATTCTCTTTCCTAATTGCATTGGCTAAGACTTCCAGCACTATATTGAAAAGCAGTGGAGAAAGTGGGCACTCTTGTCTAGTATCAGTTTTTAGTGGTAAGAAAGCCTTTCCCCATTCAGAATAATGTTAGCTTTAGGTTTTTCATATATGGCTCTGTGTTGAGAAATGACCCTCCTATACTGACTTTTCTAAGAGTCTTGATCATGAAGGGATGTTGTGTTTTATAGAATGTTCTTTGTGCATTGATTGAAATGACCATATGGTTTTTTAAATCATTATTTTTGTTAATACATTTGAAATCATTAAAATGCATGCTTAGGTGTGGGGAGCCACATGCACCAAAATGGCTGACATGACCTTCATACAAGGACCTTCAAGTATCCTTGTTCCGAGAGTAGACAATTCACCCTGAGACTTCCTCATTCAGGCAGGTCCTCAGTCAGGTCCATGACAGTTCCCGCCCCCTTTTCCTACCCTGTGTATATAAGAATGTTCTCTGTCCCGCAATAAATGAGCAACTGCATACCATCTTGAGCTGTGACACTGTGTCGCTCCCATGTTGTGATGCTGCGCTGGTTCCAGACCTCTGTTCTCTCACTCAGGCACCCTGCCTGATTGTCCTGTGGGCCAGGACATTCTGGCGCCCAAACAGGGACCTGAGTTCGAGAAGCAGTGACAGGTTCCTGAAGATTCCGGAGAGAAATAAGAAGCTCCAAAGAGGAGAAAGTCAGAAGTCTGTGGCATAACTTCAGGGGACGCAGAAGAGGACGTCCCAGTGAGTATTCACTCATGATAGATATCCGGGTTATAGCTAGACTATAATGGGTCAAGAGCTCAGCCAGCACTAATTGTTTGTTCGAGGGATTAAAGGAAGCCCTTAGAACTAGAGAAGTACAAGTAAAAGTTAAACAACTGCTCACATTTTTAGATTTTTTAAAAGATGCCTGCCCTTGGTTCCCTCAAGAAGGAACCATTGATGAAAAAAGGTGGAAAAGGGTAGGTGACACTCTTAAAAGATTACTACTCCACCTTTGGCCCAGAAAAGGTTCCCGTAACCACATTTTCCTATTGGAATCTAGTAAATGAAATCCTTAGTTCCCACCCTAACGACTCCAAAATTTCTGCCATTGTTAACGAAGGGGAACAGATTATGCAAAATGAGCTACCAAAAGAAAAGAGTGTTCCTCCCTCAGATATCCTTGAGCCTAAAAAGACCCAAACCATAGACCTCATATCTTTAAATAGTGATGAAGATGTCACACAGGACAGTGAAAAGCCTAAAAACCCCAGAAATCAAAAAGATAATAACTATGCCCCCAAAACTTCACACAGGCCAGAGAAGTACCTCGGTGCAGGCAGTCAGGGTATTGCTACACCTAAGAATCAAAACCATACAGAATTAATTAGTGCCTAGGTGTGAGCAATCATGGGTAATGCTACACCTAAGAATAGGATTTTGTATATAGACATCCTAAAACGTACTTTAAAACAAAAAGGTATTCAGGTCAGTAAAAGTCAGCTCACATCATTTTGAACACCGAAGTCCTTCTAACTAGGAGGAATTAT